CTGAGCGTGATACAGTGACGTGCAGAAGTTGGTTATAATTGGTGATGCCCGGGGCCAGTTCCTTGATTGCATGCTCCTAAGACGCAAATACACGGGCATATAGGGCAATGTACTGACAAACACGAGAAAGGAAGTCATCTTAAATATGTACAAGCAGATGAAACCTGAAATATACACTTTATTCAAATTAAATATAAACTGTATTTTTATTTCAGTATTTAATGCCCTCCCGATATGGATGGCCGGTGCCGCCACTACTGTCTTGATAGAATATGAGAAAATACAATTTAGGAAAAAGATTAATAAAAGAATTGAAATTAAGAAGGCTGAAGATAACGATTGACATGGCGTTGGCATTTTTTGAAGATTAAAGTTGACTGTGAAGCGAGAATCCGGAAGAGAGTTCTACAGTTTCTTCTATTGTACTAAGAGAAGAAACTGTTAGCATAGAACTTACGGTTACATAGAGCTATTTCATGTGTTAAATGATGAAAATTTATCGCCAAAATTGTACTTTTTTTTTTAAACATTTCACCCTAAGCAAGGCGTGACGCCACCAGCACGCAAGGGATTACAGAGAGTTGGAGCTAGAGCAAATAGGAGTGATAGAGGAAGGATGACGAGAAGGATAGGGGATAGATCTGGAGACGTTGATTGACATTGCATTTAAATAGTTGGAGATTAAAGCTATCAGGGAAACAGGAAGTGGGGAGGGAGTTCTACAGGCGAGAGGTGCGAGACATGAATCTATTGGAGTAGAAGAGACGGCTACATTTAAAAGTTTAGACAGTGAAAGGATGTGAGCGAGATGCCAGCCTAGTAGAACGCTTAAATTCATGAATTTTGGAACCAGCGAAAGCAGCTCCTCAGAGCAGTTACCATCAAAGTATTTGTAAAAACGAGAGACAGTAGCGATGGCGCGTCTCGGAGAGAGCGACTGCAGACGAGATGCCAGATCAGGGCCAATTATATTGCATATTCGCCTCTGGATCTTATCAAGAACCTTGAGGCAAACAGAAGGGGCACCGGACCATATATGGCAGCAATACGCCATGTAAGGGCGAATGGTTGATTTATAGATTTAAAGGTTCGACTCCGGCGAGAAAAATTTCCTGGCGTGGCACAGGGAGCCAACATTCCTTGCGGTGGACGAAGCTATTGACTCAATGTATTTGCTCCATCTCAGGTCAGAAGTCAATGTGAGACCGAGTAGTCGCATTTAAATTCATAAAGTCAAGGTACCATAGAGTCTAGGTACCATAGACGAAATCATTAAAATTACACTTCTAAAATTTTCATGACATTTAACACAAGTACATAAATTCGAGTCTATTCACAGAAATATCTGTTTTGGCGACAAACCAATTACAAGAAAAAGAAAAGCCAAGATAAAGATATCTGTAAATGTAGGACGTACATTGAAATAATTATATATGTTTGTCTATCGTCCGGTTTATACTTCTCCCCATCTTTTGGGACAAAAGTAGAGGGTTAACCCTTGTTTCCTGTTTAAGACTGTTTCTAATTCTTTTTTTCCCTCCTGTTGCAGCTTTGTTAGGGTCAGAAATAAAGACACAAAGAGGGGAATTGAGTTAAACAAATATATTAACAGAAACAGTAATAGAAACGTCTACAAACGAGAGTGTTACAGCAAGAATGTTTGGTCTGACTGTCAGAGCTGGCATCTGGAAACTTCCCTCTCCAAAAGGCAGTAACTGCTCCTATTTATAGCTGAGAGAGTCCATGCGTGCGTGGGTAAATTACCATAACACCTTCTCTTTCACATCAGGTGGCCCCTAGCGTTTTGATGATATTTTCAGCTTGCTTAGGGTCGTGCCTCTTGTCTGTAACACTCTGCCTCGTGTGGTTCTTGGGCCTTGTACATGTTAACATCATTTATAAGAAAGGTATCATTTGAAATATATATATATATATATATATATATATAGATAGATAGATAGAGAGAGAGAGAGAGAGAGAGAGAGAGAGAGAGAGGTGGAGTAATGGATAGCGGCTTGGATTGAGTAATCGCAGAGTTGAGTTCGAATTCCAGTCGAATCCATTATAATTCACTTACGTGCTAATACCCTTGGGAAAGGTATGAATCTTTTTCCTCTCCCTCCAGCTATGGGTAAAATAGCAGGACATACTGGGTTCTATAGCCTTGGATGGCAACTGGTCTAGGAGAAGGATAACTCTGAATTCAAAACCTGCGGAGGGTCGTTTGGGAACCTTGTGGCATTCGGTGCACCAGGTCTCTGTATTCGTCTCTTCAAAAAGTGTGGATGGTCCTGCACGAGGCCTTCAACACTATAATCAAATCTCATGTGCCGGTGTCGGGCTGTCGGTTTCCTGGAAACTGATCTGCTTGACCCTCATACGTCGAATCTCGATGGGAGAGTCGATTATTATTATTATATATATTTTACAATACAATGCTCTTTGAGTGGAGCTTACTTGTCAATATTATGAATACGGAGAAAATAAGGGTGGTTTCCTACCATGTAAGTGGCATATAGGGCCATAGTCGTGAATGTTATGACTTCCATGTACGTAGCGACAAAGCAGTGATATATTGCTATATTCTGCCTTTCAGAGCGGGTGGTTCCAGGGTGGAAATCAGGACTCGGAGAATCTCCTACCGAGATAGAGAAGTGACGACTGGAAGCTCCCGCCCAAATATTACAACACTCCATTTTTGGCCTGATCTGGCTCTTGTAAAGGCAGAGGATAGCGGAGACGCTTGTGGTCTTCATCGGGACTGGAAAGTGAAAACTGGATAGCTCCTGCCGATATGTGGTAGCACTACTCCATTTTCGGTCTGATCTGGCTCTTGTAAATCTAGAGGATATCGGAGACGCTTTTGGGCTCTATCGGGACTGCAAAGTGAAGACGGCCATTTTTTGCGCATATATGGCAGCAGTACTCCATTTTCTGCCTGATGTGGCTTTTGTAAAGGCAGTGGATAGCGGAGATGCTTTGGACTCTATCAAGACTTGAAAGTAAAGACTGGGCCGCTCCTGCACATTTGTCCATTTTCGGCCTGATCTGGCTCTCGTAAAGGTAGAGGATAACGTAGATGCATTTGGGCTCTATCAAGACGGGAAAGTGAAGACTAGGCCGCCTCTGCGCATATATGCCAGCCGTATGTATTTTCGGCCTGATCTGGCTCTTAATCTGGCTCTTGTAAAGGCAGAGGATAGGGGAGACGCTTTTGGGCTTTATCGGGACTGAAAAATGAAAACTGGGTAGCTCCTGCCGATATGTGGCAGCAGTACTCCATTTTCGGCCTGATCTGGCTCTTGTAAAAGCAGAGGATAATGGAGATGCTTTTCGGCTCTATCGAGATTGGAAAGTGAAGACTGTGCAGCTCCTGCGCATATATGCCAGCCGTACGCCATTTTCAGCCTGATCTGGCTCTTAATCTGGCTCTTGCTGAGGATAGCATGAGGAGTCAGGTACTTACAGGAGCGATACATGGAGCTAACCATATTTCTTGCATCTTTAGCGATGGATCGTATATACGAGATCCATTTGAGGTCAGGTGTGATTTCAAGACCCAATAGTCTCTTAAGTCATGGAGTTTACCGAACGGACGACCTTTCATTGTGACTGGCAGTAGTTCGCTGTCCGATTGGCGACGATGGAACGTAACTAATATAAGATATATAAGGTATTAAAAGAGGAAAACATAGTTTCTGTTTCTCTGTTCAGGTTTCCTTTTCACAAATATGTACAAGTTTCACCTGTAATTTCCAGTAATGTATCTTTTGAAATATCTGTCAAATTCTTTGTTTGCCATATTTTGAATTTTCCATTTCCAGTCTCCTTCAGAGATTGGTATCCTCGTATTCATTCTCATACAAAGTTTGCTGGTTTTTATCGCTTGTTGCAAATTCTGATTCTGTCGTCCTCAAATCACCTTATCGTCTGGCACATACCCTACCCGCTCTTTTGAACAGAAGTTAGAAGGTTATCCCTTTTTTCCTATTTCGGATTGGCTTTCAGATTCTTCTGAAGTCTACTTCACCTCTATTCTTCTAATGTCTACGTCAACTGTAGAATTTTATTTAATATTTATTTTTATTTTTTCTCAATAGGAGTAGATAAGGTTGCCTATCGTCTGGCACAATGTCCTCTCTGATCTTTTGAACAGGAGCATAAGGTTACCCCTTGTTTCCTGTTAAGGATTGGGTTTCCGGTTCCTTCGAAATCTACTTCAACTATATTTCTAAGGTCTCTGCCTAAACTCTAAAGCTTTATTTACTTTTCATTTCTTATTCGTTTCTGCAATAGGAGTAGATATGTCCGCTTGTAACCTGGTTAATACTTCTCTCCCGTTTTGTGAATAAGAGTAAATGTTTATGCTTTTTTCTTGATTAGGATTGAGTCTCCAGTTACTTCTAAAATCTTCTAATTCTCTTTCAAACCCAGTAGTCTCTTGTGTCTTAGTAGCATTATCGCCTTGCATAGGGTGAGTTGATTAAAAAAAAGAAGTGTCAACCAAAGTCATTTCTGACGTTTTAGTTAAGATTATTTAAGACTTCCCTTGTCTAACGTAAATGGTAAAGATCAAAGTGTAGTATCTGTCTTCACTTCTCCTGGTAATAGTAGCATTAGCTTTTCTCTCATATCGGAATATTGGGCATTCATTGACCGTACAGTCAATGTTATTTTCGATTTAAATTTTTAAAATCATTTTAATAAAACATTTTTTCTGGAAAATAGGTTTCTTGTACCGCTCTTGTTAGTATTGATAAGGATTTCATTCTTAACATATTGTGTGAAACGTCGGCATCTTGATTATGTCATTATTTTCTCTTCGAGTTACATGTTCTATCCATTTTAGTTGTTGCTGTTGTTGAAAGTCTTCACTTGATGTGGTTTTCCTTATTTGGTTCTGTTCTTTATTTGTTATTCTGTCGCGGCTGTTCACAAGTTACGAAGAAGTATGCTCCACATGTAAAACCTAAAGAATTCCTTCTCTAGAAACCATTTTCACAGCATCTGATATTCCCAAGCAATCACCCATCTCGGTACTGACCAAGCTCGACGCTGTTTAACTTAGGTAATCATACGGAAACCGGTGTTTCAACATTATATGGCCTTATTTTAACGGATGAACAAGTTTGTTTAATTATACATATAAATATTTTGGGGAAATGCTAAACAAATTTTACAACCACAAGCTTGCTGATACCTTTACTGTGACAAAGTTTGACACCGATTCAGGAATAGTACAGAAAGAATTATAGAATTAAATAGAAGTTCAGAATTGATGGAATATTCACAAGTATGATCGCCCCGAAGTCTTCCTGAAATGCCAATAGCATTTATTTTATTAAGTGCCGATGAAAATACACAGGTGAAAAGGATGTTATATTTAGTTTATTGAATTTGAAAACGCTGGGTTAGTTTTCTTTCACTTCGTTAAAATCAAAAATTTCCAGAAGAAATATTTATTTTAAATGAACCAGGGAATTCTAGAACTGATAACAGCTTTTGGCGTGGAAAAATAAGAAATATTTTAACAATGCTATGCATAAATATTTCAGCTTGTCATAGTTAAATGAAAAAGACACTTTCAAACAAACCATAAAATGTTCCTCTTACGAAGAATTAAAAAAAAAAAAAATCCCCTTGTTTTAATGCGTTTCATATTCCTTGCAGTGATTTACACAGGGCCTAATATCACTTTTTATTCGTCCACTTGTAGCTAGAGGCTTGGCTTTTGCATGTATTACCCTTAATTAGATTGTGTAATAAAATTATTATATCATAGTTTCAGTAAATCTAGTTGTTTCGAAACAGAAAAAAACAATTTATTTTAAGAGAATCCAATTAGCGCATTTCTGAAACTCATTAGGTAATGATGTAAATTAAAGAAAAACACACAAATCCATCCATTTTGGTCACGTTTATGTGTAAAACAAGTAATCATGATTTATTTTCTAATTTTAAAGAAATATTAAAACCATATTAAAGTCATTCATTAAGAAATATTTAAAAACAATGATATCTGATTTCACTGGACATGGCATAATATGATCAGAGCATATATATCAGAAGATAAATATATCGTAATTATAAAATAAATTTTATATATTATTTTAAACGCATGAACACCTCGGCGTGGTGTCATGGTTAGCAAGCTCGTTTCGTTGGCGCAGTTATGACTGAATAGTGAGTTCGATCCTCACTGGGTGCTCCGCACTTTCGGCGGCATGCCGCGTTTAATGTACTCTTCGGAAGTCATTTGGAGCACCTCGAGGCGGTGTAATAATGAGTAAGCTAACAATTACGACTGACTAGTGAGTTTGATCTACACTGGGTGTTTCGTGCTTTCAATTTTATGCCGTATCTAAGCTACACTTGGAAAATCACTAATAATTTAAACATTATTTTTTCTTCCATACCCGCATTGTCACTCCATTTCAATTAAACGGTATTCTGTTTCGTCAGTTTGCTTTAAGACTCGAGAAACATTATGAAATATAATGCGCAGGATTCGAACCCGAGTCGACATTTGCAGGAGAAACTCGCTTTTAGTTTAGTTTGGTTTGTTTTGCGGCATATCAATCTTGATAGGATATTGAATGACGAAAAGATTTTTTATTGCCGGTAATATTTTTTTTCAAAAATGTATTTTTGGTAATATTTTTTTTCCAAAAAAGTATTGCTTGTAATAATTTTTTCAAACCATTATTGCTGGTAATAATTTCTTTAAAAAATCTTCTGCTGATATTAAAACCTATTTTTACACGTTTAGAGCCCAATTTTGGGTTAACTATTTGCCCATTGCTGAGACCCTAACAGATGCAACCCACCCGGATTGTTGTGGACCTGGGAATAACAGCGATTAAGAGATGGTTCCGTGCTTATTAAAATCTCTTGATCAGAGACCATGCTGTCGGATGTAGTTTATCGTTATACCCAGGACGAGAAACTCCCGTTTAATCCGATATGATTTGACGACTCGACTTCAAAGTGATTCCCAATCAAGTGAGTTTCTGTTTACCTTCAAAGTAAACGTAACTCATTCAGAATTTCTCGGAAGTCATAACTGCTTAGTTTCGTATCCGAAACAAAAAAGCAATTTCTAAAAAAAAAAAAAACATGGATTTATTTTTTAACACCACATATTGTCATTACTTTAAAGGTAATCATTAGTGGATACCCGTATTTGTGTAGACGTTCAGTTTATTGTAATCAGAATTTTATTTCATCTACGGGCCTAAAGATTTGAGAAAACTGATTAAAGTAAATGCACTATTAAATAAAATGTCCAGCAGTGTAGTTTTTCTTTAATACATCTGGTGGATTAACGAAATAAAATGCTGTATTAAATAAATGTAACCTCTACTCAAATACGATATCGACTAAATTCTTATAAGAATATGTGTACTAAATTCACTATATATATATATATATATATATATATATATATATATATATATATATATATATATATTAGGAATACGTTTTCACAGCGTCGCCCACGTGATGACAACGTGACCATGTTTTAAACGGAACGCTGATCTTATAAAACTTTCAGTTATCTGTTGGATAAGTCTTGTTCTTATGTACATCGTCTTTGTCCTGTTGAATTGATAATGTTAATTATATTTTATGAATATGTCCTGAAGATGGTTTATTAGACCGAAACGTCCGACGCTGACATATTAACATTAAAACAGCATAATTGTATATAAGGATTTTTTGTTTTTTTCGTTTTTTTCTTCATATATTTTATATATATATATATATATATATATATATATATATATATATATATATATATGCAGTGAGAGGAACCCATACCAAAGTTTGTAAAAAGTATTTTGATACACCCTGTATATATATTCCCATATATACGATAGTCATTCAAAGAAGTTCTAGGCCTCAATAGGAGGAATTGGGGCAACAATACAGTTTTTCACTCTTTTTCAATATAAATACTTGACATAACGGCACTTGATCCAATGATGTTTTGCGATTAGAAGACGGAAGAAGGTGACGCACTGGTCCTCCAAAGACTCATCCGCAACACATATGATCTCAAAATTGTTTCCAAAATGTAGTCCAATGTTGGAATTTGAGTTTAGGAAACACGAAGAAGCCAGATGGAGCTAAGTCTTTTGAGTAATCGGATGTGTTAGCAATTCAGAACCACATTTGGCTGTTTCAAGTACATCAACCTGAGATTAGATTTAATTGCTTCCTTCAGTTGTCTTACTTTTGATGCATAGTACTGTCTATTAATATGTTCTTCCTTTATCAGGTAATCTATAATGATTACACCTTCATAAATCTTATACCTTGCCAACAGACGCTGTCTGTTTGAAATTCTTCGAGGATGGAGAAGCAGAGTGTTTCCACAGTTTGCTTTGAATCGTTGATTCGAAGTCGTGTACCCAGGTTTCATCTTGAGTTATTAACCTGAGTTGGAACTTCTCAGTGTCAGCTTGGAAGTGTGTCAGAAATGTCCTGGGAATTTCAACACTTTTCAGCTTCTGCTCTCGTGTCACCATTCTTGGGACCTATTTTTGCAGACAGCATGCTGATCCACAAGATATCAGCTCAAATATTATGGACGAAATTATGGCTATAAACTTAGTTATCTGCTGGATGTCAGTCAACCAAAACCATGGAGTGAATGGCATCAACTTGTTCATCACTTTTTGGGATTTTGGGTCGACCAGACCGAGGGTCATCTTCTGTGTTGTCCCTGCCACTCTTGAATGCTTCAGCCGACTTCTTCACCTTTGCATAGGAAGGGAAGTCTTCAGGAAGTGTCTGTATCATGAACTTCCTTAAATGTCAGATCTTCTTTTTTTTTCAGATATTTTATGACTACTCGCGCTTCTGTTTTGTCTATTTTTAGATTTGTCGCACACCTTTGTATGCGTATCAACTATATATATATATATATATATATATATATATATATATATATATATATATATATATATATATATATGAGGTAACCCAAAACTCTTTGCCATTTTCATTTATTCGAAAAAAATTATACAGAAAATTTTATCACCCTGCTTACGCGTGGCGGTAAAACCATGTGTATTGGGGTAAAGATGTGTTTAATTGCCTGCCTCAAATCTCCTTCATTTGGGAAGGATTTCCTTGGATGGCGGCTGTTCAGGGAATCGAACAATGCACAATGTCCAGAGAGTTAGATGCAAGTCGTCGTATTGTATCCCTGCTCACCCGCGACACATGATGCCTGGCACTTGTCATGGAAGAACAGTACTCCCTTGCAATTAGCTATTGCTTGCTCCTTCTGCTTGGCTGCCTGTTGCAAGTACAGGTGGTGGATTGGCACGTTGGTAGCAGCTCGTAATACACTAGATAGAGAACATATCTGAAGAGGTGGTATTGTGGTGAAGCACAGGGTCCCGTGGTTGCAAGCAATGTCTAGCACGCCTGGGAGTGTCATACAGGACCCTCGTGAGCACTCGGTCAAATATCGATATGTTGAGGTGTTGAGAAAGCCAAGAAAAGCTGGCTGCTGGGTCAATGAATGCCAAATTTTTCCTTATGGAGGACCGGCTGATACTACCTTTGCTATAAACATTGCAAAAGTTAGATGGCGGAAATAAATGCTTGAAATCAGATGGTTTGAAATATGCTGTGAAGTAGCATATCATTTTATATTTGTTGACTACCTTTAAATGAGAAAGACTTTGGTAATTAAAAAGCCACAATGCTTAACATAGCTTTGTCTTGTATATGTAGAACTCACTGAAAGATCGTTTTAACAGAATCCAATGTTTAAGAAGATTTACGTCGCTAAAAATTCTTCAAGCATTGCACCAATTAGAAATGGTTACAATTCACATTAGACGCGGACAAGAGCCTTTAAACAAGTATTTACGACGGTTGCACAATGGAAAGGAAATCCAAGGTAAAGTTCAACTCCACTGGATGCTTGCTGAAAGTAAGACGTATATGGTGATAATAAGCTCGTAAAATAAATCATGTGGAATCCATATAGTCTGTGAAAGCGTGAGATATATTAGATTAGGCAGAATGGGTTGGAATATCAAGAATCGTTTAAGTGGAAATAATGTATTGAAGTCTGCTTTTCAACA